AAAAAAAAAAAAAAAAAAGAAACATAATCTTTTTATAATAATATTATTCTTAAAATATTGAACGATTTTTTGTTGCATATTAAAATCTGGTGAGAATTATTTATAAACAAAGATGACGATAAGGGTTGGTACGTTTAACGTTGGACAAATATTTCCACATACGTTTTAGTTATAGTATTGATTTATTATTATTATTATTATTATTATTATTATTAATTTAGTAATGAATTTATTTACCTCTCGCACTTAAGGCTATGAATGTTTGTGCATGCCTCATGACCATCACGCTGTCCCAATTATAAGGCAGACGTAATCTAGTGAGAATGTGTACCAGAAAGTCACTAGGCGTCACCGCTGATAGTTCCCATTTTAACTTCGAGACCACGAGTTGTTCCCACCTCTGTAAAAGAAAAAAAAAAAAGAAAAAATTTAATTTAATAAAATAGAAAAGTAACATCCCCACATCCCCCATTTACCCTTTTTCCAATCCTCCCCTATTTTGTACGTGTGTACGTGTGAAAGAAATAGGGGGAGAGGGTTTAAGAGATTCAATATTATTTTTTATATATTATATATTTATTTATTATTTAACATTCAATTATCTTTTTTATATACCTATATTTAAGAATAAAAAAAAAAAGAAAAGTATCGTTTAAATAATATTTCATTTTGATTAATAATTAATGCGAGTGATAGGAGGGGGTGGGGGGTTGAAGGGTTTATGGGAATATTAGAAGAAACGATTCTTGAGAAGAGATAGTAATCGAAAATGTATATTCTTGAAAGTTACTATCTTCCTTGGTTAATAGGCACGAACACGCGGACGGATACGGTACGGATACGGTACGGATACGGCACATCCGTTCGCGTAAGTTTCTCGTAGTATAGTAAGTAGTACTCGTAGTACTATGTCGTACCTCAAGCGTGAAATTACACGAGGCTCGAGTACTACGCTAGTACTACGGTGTCCTTGAACATTGTCTTTAGTCATCATTTTCATCGTTCTCATTTTATTTGTATTTTTATTTTTATTTTATTACGATTGTTTTTTTTTAGTAATTATTATAAACCAATGAAATTTTGTTGTTCTGATTTCTTTCTGATTAATTTATAACATTTTTTTTTACATCTATTTTTTTTAACATTTGTTCGTCCATTTTTTTTGTCTGTTTCTCTTTTGTATTCGAATTACGTCAAATACACACGTGTCAATGACGATAATTCTCATCTTTCTCTTTCTGTTTCTCTTTCTTTTATTTTACGTTTGTAGACGATACGACCTCGTAACGATGGCCTTCCATTTAAAATAATCATCTCATTCGAATTTCAATTCAAATTAAATAGTATCGTTGTTTTTTTTTTTTTTTTTTTTTTTTTTTTTCAAACAAATGTTATAATATTATATATGTGAGTGGGTTGAAAAGTATTGAGCTTAATAAAGAAAACAATTTATTTATTTAAAAAAATATGTTTTCAATCGTTGAAAGTTTAAACTTTGAAACATAAACAATTATTGTAGAAAATTTTCTATCTGTTAACGCGATCTTTGAGAAACAAATATAATATATGTATGTGTATGTGTGTCAGAGTGTGAATAATATAAAATTATATATTATACGTGGGTGGGTTGAAAAGTGTTGAACCTAACTAAGAAAACAATTTATTTAAATAAACAACAAATATATTTTCTCTCATTGAAAGTTTATATTCTTAAACAATCACTCCTTGTTTAAAAATGTTTATCCAATTACGATTGTTGAAACAAATATTATATTATATGCGTACGTTTGTTGAAAAGTATTGAACCTAATTAAAACAATTTATTTAAAAAATAAATTTTCTATCGTTGAAAGTTTAAACTCTTTTTAAACAATCAAATTATTCGTATACAATTTTTTATCCATACACGATGAGATTTTTAAATTAATTATCAATTAATCGTATACGTTAATAATTTGTTAAAAATTTTTCATTGTAGAAAAGTTAAGAAAACAACAACAACAACACTGAGTAAGTTTCTCTTTCTTTTTTCCATTCGCATTTTAATCGGGACACATCATCATCCTTGGTCGTCGGGGTTTCGCGCTCGAGTGCGCATGCGTGCGCGTTTTTTCATATATGTGTATGTGTGTGTATGCGAGTATGTGAATAAGTGCGTACGAGAAACGTAACGCAACTCGTCGTAGCCGGTGAATGAAACAAAGGCACGAGTAACGCGACTTCATTTTTACTATCAATTTTAACACCACGAGGTTTTTAAATATAATATGAAAAGGAAAAAAAACGTGACAAAATTAAAATATAAATATTCTAACATTTATTTCTCAAATTTTCTATCCCATTTCTCATCTCGTATCATTAAGAACAAATTCATTTTACAATTTGATAAATTCAAGGTTTTAAAAAAATGATAAAAATGATTTTGATTCATGTTTCAATCGTTCCTATAAATATAATAATAATAAAATACATTTTTTTCTTTTTTTCAAGAAGGAAAATGCGAAGGGAAAGAATTGAATAAAAAGAATTTAAAAATTTATTCTTGTACTTTTACATAAACTACTCAATGGATTATTATACCTATTTTAGTTTAGGTGTGTACCCTTCTTGTAGGTATTATTACTGTTATCGCATAACCCCGTCACCCTTTTTGGACCCTTTTTATGTGACAGTATTCGCCTAACTCACACCTGCCCTCTCATATTCCGTTTCTCCAAAAAAAAAACTTCGCACACTATTCTCTCTCACTCACTCTCATTTTTTACCATCCCTGTTTGCGATCTTTCTTCCTCATGCAAAACGGAAATCACTGTGGATGATGAAAAGGATCGTGGGAGAAACTTAACTCTCTCTTAAAACGGAAGTTAAAAGTTCAAATTATTTCTTTCATTAAAATCTAATCATAAATTATTAAATAAATCAAATAATAATAAAC